TGCCCTTTCCATTCCGCTCAGGATAGGCAATTTTGATTGATGACTTCGATGAATCAGAAGCCGCAAAAGCCAAACTCTTGAGTGACGCTCGATTACAAAGAGCGAAAGACTCGCCATGACATCCCTCAAAACCATGCAGTTGAGTAGAAGTTTTTGCAACTTTACGGGGCGTGATAACAACCTTCCAGCGGTAAACACTTTAAACTGTGGCCATCGGCGTTTTTTCCATTCTATTCCGCTCAGGAAATTATATTTTGTTTGATGACTTCTCTAAATCAGACGCCGCAAAAGCCGCAAAACGTTAACGACACTCGTTTTAAAACATCGCAAGACTCGCGGTAATGCTGCACCTTTCCAGAGCTGCTCCCTGATTGGTTCAATAACAGCTTCCGGTAGCGAATGTACCGATTATATTATTGGCTACCTCGTTTTTGGGACATCAACTGTCTATGATCGTTGTTTAGAGGGTCCTGGTTGAATGCTGACAAAACATTAATGAACAAATGAACAGATTTTGAAAGAACCTTTTTGATAAAAGAATTATTGATTGTCACAATTATTGATTGTCACATACCTTGCACTCTTGCTACAATTGTAGCTTCCAAGAGGGAAACCTCTTCATACAACTGCGTAGATGGCAACTGATCTTCTGTTTGAACCAGTTCATCGCCCACATTAAAGTCTTTATCGGGTTTTTTGTCAGTGATACCAAGAGCTGTCAGTGATAATAAAACCATAGCATTGAGTTAGCTGGGTTATGCAATCCTTGATGAAAGAAATAAAAACGCAACAATATATGTTGGGGTCAAGTTGTCTTTTAGACTTGGATGACATTTAAGGGCTTCCATTTTAATATACTCCTTTATGGATCTTACTGTCCATATTTGATGTAATTGTATAGTGTAATAATATTATGTTAATATAATAATAACTGTAATACTATTCCACTAATGGCGCTTACCATAATTTAGCCACTCCACAAAAGATGGATCAAGGCTGCCAAGGGGGATCTTGTGTGCTCTTTTACTTGTGACAGCGGCATCGCCTGCCTTCTTTGATCTCAACGCCGACATAGGTGTGTTGGCATCTGAGGCAAATGTTATTGGCTGCGACAGGCCATTGACCATATGAAGCTTTTTGAGGAAACTGTCAATTTCCTAACAGGAAGATAAAAGTTTTAATGCCAAACAATTTCGAATATTAAGGCAATCTTATTCAGCTAAAAGTAATTTTAAAAAACAAACACTTCTAATAATAGTAATATTGTAATATTGTTTTATTAAAAATTGCCACAAAATACCAAGAATTCTTCTTTTTTAAAAGCAATCGATGTTCCCCTTCTTTTTAATTTTGAGCAAACACGTGAAGTTACTACATCTGGAGAGCATGGTTTTTCTTTTTCATAAATAACATTTTGCTTTGCTTATACATGCAGGCTTTGTGTAGTGTTAAGAATGCATTCACTCGACACCGATATTTCTAGTATGTGTTATCTACGAGTAGAAGTCATCTGCAACCAGATTTTCATGAAGTCTTTGAGTCAAAAATTAATCCCTGAACTCAGCCCTTAATCTTAAGTTAAAAGATGAATGCACTGACAGTTTAACTTACACTGATGGACACATCTGAACTTAAAAGGTTTATTCCAACCTTTGAAAATGCAAATGATTTATCAGTGGTTCCATCACTAAATTTGATTGAACAAAAGGGGTTGATCCATGTGTGCACCTATGAATTAGGATTAAGGAAAAATAAAAAAATATAATTATTATGAAGCTGGTATTAAAAGCATAAATATTTGATGCAATGTTGAATTACCTATTAGCAATAATTAGGTGCCCTCTTCATTTATAAAAGTCCGTTTACGGCCAGCCTCCATATTAATTTAAACAATTAAAAGAACACTAACATGTGAGAATATCCCACTCATAAACATGTGTTCTTCAGCTTTATGAGGTACACATAAATAGAAGGCAATGGTTGTTATTTATATCAAATATATTTTAAACAGACTGCAACAATACTAATTATCACAGAACCTTTCCAACTTGTTCTTTGATCTGTTCAAAGACTGCTTTTTGGAAGCGGGTCATGACGGGCAAGAGAGTGATACACTGTGCATCTGAATTCTTTTTCATTTCTTCCAAGTCACTCATAATATTTGTTCTCTTCTGGACAGACGCTAAAAACTGAAATAAAGTAATAACTTCATAAATGTATTAATAATCAGAAGGCCCCTATAGTTTCAACTACACTACCTATATATGCAAACCAACAGGGTACTAGAAATGCTTGATACATTTTATTATGTGGGTATTCTTAAAATAATTTTTTAATCAAGCCCAAATGTTCTCCCTCCACGATAAGCTCAGAATAATTATTAGGAATTTAAAGAATATATACTTTACAATTATGTGGTAAACTACAATTTATTGAGGACCACTTACTTGCAATATAAGTGGTAGCGTATTAGTTTTCAATGACCTAATTTTTGCTGATTATGGTGAATTATTGTCTATATATAATACTGGTATATGTAGAAAATGAATATCCACATCAATTATTTGAATACCTACCATTGCCTTGGCAAGCAGTGTATAACTTAAACCTCGGATCCAACGGATCTGCTGCTGTTGGAAAAAGGCCCTCACTGCCCTTTGTATTGTGTCTATAAACTCCGATGATAACTTGTTCCATAATGGCATGAACCTCATAGTCCATGCCAAGAGGAGGCCCTACAACATAACAGGAAAAAAAAGATATATGATTTGACATTTTTTCCTCTAACAGATTGCACTTCCATTCCTCAAACTCATTGTGTTTTATAAGTAACATTGAAGTATTTGATCCTCACTGGCCATGCATAGGTTGTTTTTCATTTTTCAGCATAATTAAAATACTATTAGGTTCAAAAATAAAAAGTCAGAAATCATTTGCTGAATCAGAGATAGGTCATCATATGATGCCTGAAAAATTCCAGATTATATACAATAATTATAATTCGCTTTCACAAAGTGACCAATGGACTTAAATGTTGTCTCACCATGGTTCATGTTTTTATACATGTAGACCATATAAATGGTAAAGCAATTCCAAACCATTATAATTTAGTGACTGGTGACAGTGGATGTGTTTTTTTTTTTTTTTTTTTTTACTTTAAAATAAATTTTTCGCTTAAAGGAAAAGGTTTCCCCTTAATTTTTTAAATTTTTACAATACCGTTTCTTCCAAAAATATTTTATTTTTCATACTAAAATATTTTTTTTATACCTTTTTTTCCTTTTCTCTGGCCATTAATTTTTGTTCTCTTTTTATATACTAAAAAATATTTAATATAATAAAAATATAAAATAAAAAAAATGTAAAAAAATTCCAAAACAATTTTATTTAATTAATTGTTAAAGTTGATTTTTTTTTTTTTTTTTTTGCTTTCACTTCAATATAAATCTATCGCTTAAGGAAAAGGGTTTCCCCTTAATTTTTAAGATTATACCACTACCGTTACTACTAAAACTATTATATTGTGCATACTAAAATCTTTGATTACAACCTTGTTATCCTCTGCTAGGGCCATGAGTTTTTGTTCTCTTTGTTCAGAGAGTTCGAATGCCTCATCCTTCATGAAGGTGAATCTTTGAACTCTTCCTTCAATTCTGCAGACAAGAGCAGAACATATACTACATATCCCTTGTCCCTTTATGATAATTCCTCTTAATCAAAGCATGCAGACCCTTTTTTTCATGACTACCTTTTTTTGGTCAATTTAAAACAAAAATACAGTAAAACCTCTCTTAAGCAAACACTAATATAAGCCAGGTCGCAAAATTAACATCTTATATTTAATTTTCCTTTATAACAAACCCCTATTGAGTGGGCAGCTCTATTAAGCAGACGCGGACACTGAAACAAACTCTGTTAAGAGCACAAGGGACTGAACCAGACAAAAGTCGTATTGGATTACCTCCTTGAAATACGTACTGAAGTCAGTCAGTGTTTTTTTGCATTTACAAACAAATTAAAGTTGGTAGTGAAAGTTAATGAACTTGAACTCTGGATAGCTTCATCAACAACATGGAACTTTATTACAGTACGGAGTAACCATTGAATGTTGATTGTTAACAAACATTGTGCAATTTTTAAAACCTCTATTAAGCAGACACTTAGGAAGGTCCTGAAGGTGTCTGCTTAATAGAGGTTTCACTGTATATCTTTTATAGTAGCTGCATTACATTCCACACCTTTTTACCTCCTCATCGTTGGAGGTGAGGAGGACACTTCCTTTAGGGGCAAACATCCCTGATGCTGCTGACCCTTGAAGCAGCCCCCCTTGAATCTGGTTGAGGAACTCCCCCAAATTTGTTGAAATGAGGGGGTCGTCCATCATTACGACCAATGTCGTTTTTGATAGAATTTCCAGTATCTTCTTTCTGTAAAAAATTACACTCAGTTAAACTAACTGGAAGATGTTTAATATTATTGAGATGTCTGGTCAGAATGGTCAGTCATGCCAGGCACTGGGCATTCTGGAACAGTCAAATAACCAAATTATGATGCGTAAATCTGAGATAATTTGATTCTTTGAATAGAATGTTGCATAAGTACACATCAGCACACATCAGCAATAATTTATTATAACTGGGACAAGAAAACAAAAGAAAAGGAAAGTGATCAGATAAACAATTTGTATTTGGCAATTAGTAGCATTCAAAAATAGCTTTGAGCAAGCAGTTGTTTATACCATTGGAACGTAAAAATAAAGTACATTTGTCTCTATAGGCTGAAACCCATAAATTTTATTTGTGGTATTTTTTTTTTTTTTCACTTTTCCCACCAAATTCATTTTCCAGCTGTAAAAATAATGTGTGAAAAGATAGAAGATACATACGCAGACGTCCCAGAAGTACTCTGGTTCCCTCCTGATAACAGGAGTGGGTGGTGCCTACTTGCAAGGCCTTGCAACTTGCTCAGAAGATACAAAGTAAGGCTTTTGCCACAATTTTTTTCTGAAGAGTGGATGAGTCCAATATTGCTTTCACCTTGAAAGGAGAAAAACAGATAATGGTGTAATTCAAATGGTGAATGATAAAAGAAAGGTCTAATTCTAATGAAAACACTAAAAACTGTTTAATGTATTAAAATTTAGTTTGATTAAATTCGCACAAGCAATAAATGAAATGCCCTGCAGGTTGACTCTAGACACTAATTATGACTGATAGAAATCAAGTAAGTTTCTTTCTCTGCAAAATAATTCTTATAGATATAAATAATAATTCTCATTCGCAGGATTCTCATAGCTTATTGTTAGTTTAATTGTCACTAGTTGTGGACTGTTATAGGACTGCATGCATGTAAACTTATTTAATTTCAGTATTATATCTTGTTTTTGTTTTGTTGTTTAGCCTACAGTCTTCATTTCCATGTAAAATAATTTCTGTTATTCTGACCACAGGCCGTGTAAGCCCCCGGCTTTGGCTTTACTGGGTTTGTACTATATGAGCGATGGGATAATAAAGTGGAGTTAAGTTAAGTTAAGTTCAGTTATATTCATTGGATTTTCTAAAACACGTACCCCAGACATCCTCCAAATTTTGAGTGCGTATTAGTCTTGACAGACTAAAACCCAACACCATTAAAAATTGACCATAATTTGGGCCAAGATAAGTTGAGGCATCAAGTAAACTACATAAAAATTGAACAAAAAGGAAAAAAGGTCATAATTTGATGTAAAATGATTATATAAAGAAACATTATGGATGGGAGGTACTTTGGGAGGTATTAATTTTGTCTCTTTTTATAATAACTGAGTAAAAAAAAAAGGTCTACGAGATTTGTTCATCAATCCTCAAAACTGGAACCCTGGTTGCATGGCTATTTTTAAGGAAAAGAAGCCCTAGCTACATAACTACACTTGGCATTATACCAAGCAATAAAATGTTTTAGAGGGTAAAATGTTAATTATCGTCAATTGCAGTGATTAACAATTCACTAAGTAGATCAGATTTTTTTAGTATAGGGTAGACAATCTACCAACTTTTTGTGCTTCATGCCAAAGTGTGAATCACTTACCTTTGGCATACAGAGATTAACGCATCCTTTTTTAACAGCTGGATGTTGATTGTTGTGGCATAATCGTGTAAATTATGCATAAGATGGAACTTTCTCTCATGCAGCTCTACAGGTCCATTCCTCCAAAGGTGGACCTGGAGACAGTTGACATTTTGCATTTCAACAACAGGTGATGAAAATGATATTTTAATTATTACTAACAAGATAGAAGACTGAGACTTAATGTCCTAGCTTGAAGATGACAATTTTTATAGTCATTTGAAATGCAGATACCTAAAACGAATTCAAGGACTTTTCAATATGACAAGTAAAATTTAAGACCTTTTCAAGCTTGGGTACCAAGTCACTAATTTCAAAACTATACAGGATAACCAACAATTTCACATATCCTTGAGTATATCTATGCACAATTTATGAAAATCATTTAAGGGAAATTCCCCGGATAACATCACATGGTCTTAGACTAGACTAGGTCCAAACTCACACTCACTAATAGTATTTGCAACAGCTAAAGAATAGTTTCTTTCTTCCAAAATAAAATATTTGAATGCCGTTCTCTGTAACACAACATATTTAGATCACAAGATGCAAGTGTGTTGGGGAGGCTGACTGGTGTATAACTAACTACTACAAAATCAAGTAGTCACCTCGTCACCCAGGATCCAATAATTGTCACTGTGAAGGCCAAGATGCGATGTTCCATAAACTTTAACCCCCTCCTGCGGATCATACAAGGCAGATATCCACTGCCAATAAGCATTCACATGTTCATTTTTAACGCCTGGTGAGAAGGAAACACTCCCACCGGGAAAGCCTCTTCGTATCGCTTCCAATAGACTTCTCTTGGTGTCAAAATCGCTTCCCTTGAGGGAGATCAACCTAAACATAATTGTCATAGACGGTGTTAGAGCTGGTATATGACGCTTAAAGTTGTTTCAAAGGCTGGTTTATTAAATAGCGTTTAAAATAAAGAAAAAAGGCGTACAAACTTTAAACATCTTTTCTCAATACTTTTCAAATGTCCGCAGTTCTTTTCTCGTGGTGTTATTAAACTCTAACACTAGACCGCCAGTGCTATCAGCGATAGCCTTCCAACATACCACGCAGGCGCTTTTAGGGTAGCTCGCAATTTGTGGGAGGGGGGCGACGGGGTCAGTCACTCAAAAAGCCCGCCGCACTTATCATTTATTTTCAAAAGTGAGATTTATGGATCTTATCCACGTGAGCTGCGAAAGTGGGTGTATTTCGCAGAGTTTTGTTTTCGCGATTTCAGCAGTCAAATATGGAAAAAGGGCATTAAATTCACGATTTTAGCGTTCTCATCTTCATTATCCAAAAAAAAAAAAAGAAGTGTGAACACTACTAAACATGTTTTGGATAAACTAGAACAGGGTACTTACAAGTAAAACTAATTAGTACTTTGTGGTTGTCCATTTACATCCCAGTATATGTTGTTGCTATTACAAGTTAATACCGTTGTAAATTTTCTATAAAGTTATTAAATTTTGCGTATATATTTTTTTTGGTGTTTACAAATCAAATTATCAAGAAAAACGCGATTTGAATACTCAAGGCCATGGTTGAGTTGGGCTACGGTGTGTTCGTTTTCAGTTTCCTGCAAGCGCTCGGACCACGCAGCAGATCAGGTATAAACCGCATGTAACAATACCTATACTCAAATGTTACGTTCAATCTTAACTTTATCTTAAACTTTATAACGTCGTTTCAGTTCGAGTTTGTTTTCGTGGTTATTCAGATAGGTAACCAAAGCAATACCCTGGTCCCAGAGGTTTTTCTTGAAATTTTTGTTGACTTTTCTTCGCGAAAGATAGAGCGAGTAGAAAAACCTCTAGAACCAGCGGTCCAAAAAAAAAAAAGCCTCTTTTAAGCGACCGCCTCGCATCACCGATCCAGTCGATATAGAGTCCTAGAGTGAAATTTACGGAATGAGCCAATTGCATTACGTAATTGCGTATGGATCTTCTCGCGGGCTCCAATGCGTGGCACTGGCTAGGATATCGCATAAATACCAAAAAATAAATTAGGAATATCATTAACATTATACGAATTCACACTACAAGTATAATTCCCGCATAAGGTGGGGGATTCAGTTTGCCAACCAGCTTAACGTCATTAAAAAACTACACGTGTTTTTAGTCCAAAGCTCCCTTTTTTAATTATCTCTTAGCACGTGGTATCGTCCTGATCTACCAAAATATTTTCATTTTAATAAGTTAGCCAGAGAATTGCAATAATATGAGTCATTTATATCAGTTCTTGTTAACTAAGATCAACGATTACGTTGTCTCATTGTTCAATCAACCAAGAGGCTTTAACAACAAACTAAGTAAACATACCTGGTAAACTTTTGAGAGAATACGAAGCCGGTCATTGATGCCAACCACTGCCCCTCGTGTCCCTGAACTTGCAATTGTGGCGTCGCGGGGTTTTGCCAAATCTCTCCCACTAGCTTCAGCGAAAAATCTGAAAACTGGTCAAGTCTATCATCAGAACCAAACAAGGTCTTGCCCTCTCTGTGTACAAAAGAGTAGGCTTGTCCGGAACTCTAAGGAGAAATTGTGAGACAATGGCACAATGGGTCACATACCAGCACAAACACAAACCTTTTAAAAGGCAAGTTAAGCTAATCATATCTGGTCAATTAAAAAAAAAATGAAATAGCCAATGAAATGTACATACCTTCGGGTGGAAAGAACTCTTCTCGGCCATGTCAATGGAAGATAAACTTTTCGCTGTCGCACTTGTCCAGTGAGAAGTCCGCACATGCTTAAGTACGTCGAGGTTGAAGTAATATAGCCAAGTGCATATTCCATTTTAACCAATCAAAACACCATAACAGTTCCATGGGACAGATAATTGTCAATCAGCACTTTTGGCGGACAGGGTTACTGTACCATAATCTGGTTGTCTTTATATTACTACTCTGAAAACGCGAAATGACAAGTGATCACAATTTACAATTCATTTCGAACTTCACTTTAGAGAAAAGCTTTTTTTTTTTTGAGTTTTCCATTCTTCCGCAATCCTTTTATACTGACCTGCGAGCAAACGTCCTTTTCATCTCGCCTTCAAAATAAACAGAAAAGGAGTACAGAGGGGGCATTGGCTGACTGTCCCAAAAATGATCGTGTTTGGGTCGTTGTGGATCGTTCATGTCGTTTTGCATGGCTCTTTGGTTCCTCGTTTCAACTACAGCCAAATGATAGACCACAACACCGCCAAGTGTTGGCAAGTTTTATCTTTTCATCGAATATCCGCGTATCACGTAGGTGTTTAAAGATCACCGCCACACCGCAAGATGGGATCCTATTCACCGCAACACCGTACAAAGCAAATAAGCGACACCGCAACACCGACGACACCGCAAATTCCCATGTCTCCTGCTGCATAGGCGTAGCATTTCTTGTCACAATTCCAATCTATTTAATTATTCGACACATTAAAGGTGTTGATCCAAAGACCCCTGTACTAAAATCTGGGTCAATCTTCTATTGTTCCCTTGCGATAAAATACATTGAATAGAAAGTGTATTTGGCCATTTCCAGCCGAGGGGTTCTTTTGAGAATTCTTGGTGTGTTGCCCAGTTATCCAAATCCTGAGCTTCTCAGAATTAAAGATTTAAATTTTCACACGCGTTTTCACACCTGGCCTCTAAGAAATTATGTCATCCTTTCTTGATTTGGAACACCAACAGAGACGATTTCTTCATTCTCATATTTCTCTTTCTTTCTCACTCATTTGGAATTGAATTTGGTTAAATACGTTAAATTCGAAAATAAAAACAGGTTACAAAGGAAAAGACCCCCCCCCCCCCCCCNACTGATATTAAGAAAGGAAACTAGAAAGCTGTATCTGAATACTATTTTAAAGATATTTATACGACAATACCGAACACGGGTGGGTAATCATTGTAATTGCTGTTTTATAATTATTTTTGAAAATGTTCTAGAATATGTACTTTTTCAAAGTGATTTTTTTTTGTCTTATCTTGAGTGGATCATTTTCTCCTTGATCGATCAATATGTCATGTAATGATAGCGACGCAAAACAATGACTCAACATATTGGACGATGGAAGACTGAACCTAAGCAAGACACCCTGTGTTTGGCGCGAAATTGTCGCGACTGTTAACTCTCTCCGCCCGCGCTAACAAAAAAACTACGCAGATCTGAAGAAAACAAAAGCTGCTTTTTTGTACGAAGCAGTCCAGCTTTTGTTAACAAATATTTTCACCCTTATCTTTGATAGAGTTTAGACCACAAACTTGTTCAAAAGGTACGTGTCATTCTTTTCTAAATGTGCATGCAATAGTTGTTTTTCAAACTTTATACTTGTTTTAATGTGTTAAGCTTACGGAAACCAACTCCGAACAGGCGTGTATGTCGTGCTTGGGAACTTTTCTGATCGTTACATCTGGTTCAGTAAACCGTAAAAATTGTGAGTTAGATCAAGCCCTTTTTTCGTAATAGGGTTAGTGCATTTCTGCAAAAGTAATAGCTGGCTTATGTTTCACAATGCAATTCAAGTCAAAACTTCATGCGAGAACCTACTAACATCAAGATTAACCAACTCTGGTTTTTCTAACAGTTATACTTAACTACGAAAACTACTTCAGGGTAATGAAATAATATGACTTATATATATATTTTTTTAATGGACAGTGTACTTCAAAAGAAATATCTGTACCAGACTTTGATGGGCATAGTACTGAAGCAAGTACATAAGATTATTTGAACAGGATTCAGTGCAGTTTATCAAACAAAGAAGTGTGGATATTTGAGGACTTCGGGTGTTTTACAGACGTGAGAATCTCTTTCTATTGATTTTTCTGGGTTCTATACGTGGTGGGTCTCAGGCTGCATAATTTTTAAAATATTCCGTTGATTTTTGTGCCACCACAGTGGCAGCTAGGTATGTTTCAACATTTAATAAATGATCATTCAAACATACCGAGCTGTCCCTTCTTTATCGTGACTGGACAATGACTTTGGAGGTTAAAAAGATATAAAAATAGCCTACGTAGCAAGCTTTTCCGCGCGAGTTTTATGCAAGAGACTAAGTTTGTAGAGGGCAAAAAAAAGAGGAAGGAGGGGCCGGGAGGGGCTAACTCGCGCAATAACTCTATTGGAAACGCTTGTTATGCAGACTAGGTACAATATGAAGTGTTTCTTTAGTTTAATTTTAAGCTTTGGGCATAGAGGGAAATTTTGATGGAATGTTCCTGGACTTTAAAAAAGTGATAATAAGGCTCGATTCAAACATCAAATTTCACAGGTGACGAACTTAATTACAATGCATGTACACGAAATGTAATGTTCCCATTCAAAAGAATTAGGTTCGCTACACATTTTTAACCGGGTCTTTAAGTTTTGTTAAAGGTAAAGAGAAAGGGGGATTTTCTGCAGAAAAGGGGCGATAGTAAAAAGGGAGTGGGGCCGAAAAATTTGTTTTAAACACTATGACTGAATTTTTTTATCTCAGATTGCTATATTCTTTTACAATTATTTTACAGATAAAAGAAACAAGGCAAAGTGATAAGTCTCCAGTGTAAAGAAACACACAACAGATGAAGATTGAAGAAATACATGGCGTTTGTCTTTCACTTACATCAAGAGTCAAAAGCACTCTAGAATGAAAATCTTCTCAAAGATAACATCAAGACAGATGGGCTCCTGATCAAGAACATTTCTTACTTACCATGATTTTTGCACTGCCTTTCGTGAAAGAAGTGTTTTCAACTATTTTGCAGGTTGCCGTCCGTAATAACAGCGTGTATCTGGAACACTTATAGTGCTTCAAAAATTTGCGGCAGTCATTAACCCATTGCACAAGTTAGCCAAGAAAGTTGTCCTTGACCGTTAAAACTGATGACGTCACAAAGGGTAGAAAGGACCTGGATCCCCGCCGGTGCGGATCCAGGTCCTTTCTACCCTTTGTGACGTCATCAGTTTTAACGGTCAAGGACAACTTTCTTGGCTAACTTGTGCAAAGTGAAGAGATCTTTGAAACCATAACAGAATGAGCACAATTTAGTCAAGGACACCGGAGAAAGAAGCAAAAAACCACGTGACATTGACCTGAAAATCTCCATGAAAATCTTGTTTTCCTAAAAACTCTTCCCACCAAAATGAAGCCTACTAAATGCGCAGCAAGAGAAAAAAAAAACGAGGCAAGAAAAGCGAAATTTTGCTTTCTGCGCATGCCCGAACTTCGCAAGCTGATATTTTGCATCTGGATAAGAAGGCCGCGAAGTGTACGACCTGTAAACCGGTTTGTGGTAAGTTTTAGCTCTTTATAGCACGACAGTGACCAGAAAACCACTCTACGAGCTTCAAAACGCGTTTTGGGCAAAATCTCCAGGAGCGAATGGGTTAAATAAATAATAAAAAAATAAATATTGAATAATAATAATAATAATAATAACAATGATGATGATGATGATGATAACAATACAACTTTATAACAAATTGCTAAAAAAACCCTAAACACACACAAAAAATAAAAATTGCAGTACCCATACATGAAAATCTCAAACTAAAAGCATAGGCCTCTCTTAGTTCTTCTAAATTTGCTTACTGTTCTTTCACTACCAGGTCTTAAATTATAATAAAAAAAAAAGTTATTGTTTCAGATTTGGGAATGAGGATTACATTGGCTTATTGTTATTGCTAGCCATATCAGAGGCAAATCGACGACACAGGACGACCCTTCTACTTGCTATGATTATAGGCTGTGCATTCATAATATATTATTTCGAGTGTTATCTTTTAAGAGACGTACTCTGGAATGTCCTGCCAGACTTGGACTGAATACTCCAAAATTGATCTAACATTACTTAGAAAATACAGGTCGAAGATGTCATGTGAGCTGATGCCTGCGCGTTACTGCACGATTACGACGTGAAAATGTCTAGAACTCTCTAGTAAGTTTAATGTAACATCTACCCTCCGAATAGTTTGTATGTCTTCACTGTCTCAACCTCTTGGTTCCCAACCCAAATAGTTCTCATTACAGTATTGGGATCTGCCATGAAGTTAATAACCATCTCGTTGCTTTCCTTTGGGTTAAACTTCATTCTATGACTTACAGAATAATCGTGAATGCCTCTAACTGCTACGTCAAGAATACGTAAAGATTTGCTTGCGATGACTTCAAGGATAATAACATCATCGACGTATTTCGTTCTTAGCTGCCAATTCCTGAGTAGGTCATTATCATAACAGCAAAGAGTCTTATGCCTAGTTTTATCCCCTATGGGACGCCTCTATATACACGCCTCCAAGGTCACTGCTTGAGTGAATCGCGTGCATGAGGTAAATCAGGTAAATTGTGACGTCTCCTATAAAGTCAGCGAAGGAAGAAAGTAAGTAAAGAGAGCAGAAATAAAATGAAATAAATGTATAAATAAAAAGTAGCACCAACTGGAAATAGGAAATGTTAAAACAAGTATGATACTAATTAAATCTATAGATATAAGGAAGGTAATCACTTTTACTGAATAAGAAGACTGGTAATGGCACCTCATATCAACATACG